TCTTTTAGATCTTCCTTTAGTGAAACTCTGTTGACAATAAATCATTTCAGTTTTTAATTTGCTGAAAATTTTTTTATTTCATCCTCATTCCTGAACAGTAGTTTTCTGTATATACAATTTTAGGTTGGTAGTTATTTCCTTTCAGTACTTTGAAGATATCATTGACTGGATAGATTCTGTATTTCATTATTACTATTGAAAATCAACTATCATCTAATTATCATCTAATTGTCATTTCTTTGTATGTAATTTGGGAGATTTTTTTCCTCTCTACCTATCTGTAAGATGTTCTCTTTTTCTGGAGTGTTCTGCCGTTTTACCATAATGTATCTAGGGATTTGTTTTTCAAATTTTGTGTTTGGAAAAAAGAAAAAAATATAGACTATCTTCTACATAAGGCCAGGGTCCTTGTTTGTCTTATTGACATCTTTACTCCTAGCCTTAACAGAAGGCCTAGTACATAGTAGGAATGCAATAAATATTTGATATGTAATGAGTAAATTTGTAAAAAAATTCTTATTAGTTTCCTTATGAATAACAGGAAGGAAAGTTCTTTCCTATCTCAGCATATCTAATAAACACGTCTTATCTCAGATCTCTCCGGTAGCTCATGGAAGATAACCAGGAAATGAATGTTTTAGTTATTTTCTTTTTTTTCTTAAGGGCAAGATTACATATTTTCCCTCTATAAATCTAAGGAGAACTTGACTTTACATTTAAATAAGCTTCCAAGTGAAAGTTTGAAGTCCAAGGAGTTTGACCTTGAAAAAAAAGTAGGGCCTAGAAAACTCTGAATATTAAATAATCATTAATGACAAATAATAAGTGTAATTCACTTAGTTTCAGTCAAACTCATTCTTTAGAGTATGTTCTAGGGGAAACACCAAATATAGTCCAAGCCTTGTATTTTTCGAATATTAGATGATGTGACAGAGAGGGATATAAACTTCACAGTAGGTGTCATGTTTATTTTCTTTCCTCTTTCACCCCCCTTTATATCCTCTCACTCTATCCCTAGGGTCCATGTGTGGATGTGTGTATGCACACCTGTGTGTAATCATAGCCCATCATATGAAATGCTATGTATTATTCCTTCACTTCTCTATGTTTTCATCTTTGTTTAAAGCCTTGTAGCTGGCACCTATGTGTTCTTTTCTGGCAGTTTAGCCAAATGTAAAAAGAGTATGAGCTTTCAGTATAAATCCCATTTCTGTCATAATACCTTTATACCTTTGGCAAGTTATTAAACCCTTGTCAGCTTTGGTTTTCTCATCTAAAAGAGAGATTAATAATAACTACTTCATGGCTTAGAGTAAGGATTCGAGATCTGTATTAAGTGCCTAGCACATTCCTTGGTACATGGTATACACTCCCTCCGTATCAGTTCCCCATTCTTCCAGCAAGACTCCCATCTATCTCTAGGATCAGAGAACATGGCAAAGGCACACTCCTAAGAGCTTGTTCTGATGTTTTCCAGAGCTCTGAAATGACAAATGACTCAAGTGCCCATCTGAGTTGAGCAAATACAAGGATTATAGTTATTGTTTTTACAAGGATAGCAAGAGGTAATGACTAACAATTCTGAGAAGATCTTATTTGTGTTCAGTGTTGGCAGCGGCTCTAGGCATATATTGTAAAGACGATATGGAGGACCATTTCCTGGGACATGTAGAGAGGTGGTGACCCACTTTTCACTGTCACATATGAAACTGCTGTTGGTGTGCTATCCAGCTCACCCCATATCCCAGAAAGATTAAAAAAACAAAACAAACAAAAACCACAAGTGCGATTTTGGTATGCCACTATTGGGTCGTTTTCAATCACTGATTTATATTATTTCCCTTGTTTTTTTCTTTGTGTGTAAACTCTGTCCTTTTGCAGAGGTTGGCAAATTTTTAAAAACTAAAATTTCAGAGCATAAATATTGTAGAGTTTGAAGGCCATGCAGTCTCTGCTAAAAATACTCAACCTTGCATTTATAGTGGAAAAGCAGCCAGAGATAATATATAAACAAATGAGCATGGCTATATTCCAATAAAACTTGACTTACAGATCCTTAATTTTGAATAGAATTCATATAATTTTCATATGTCATGAAATACTGTTCTTTTGATATTTTTTCCCCAACCACTAAAAAAATATAAAAACCACTCCTAGCTCCCAGACCATACAAAACATGTAGTGGGGATGAATTTTGTCCACACACCATTGTTGGCCAACCTCTGCCCTATTGGTCTCCTGAATTCTCTGTATTTATTTTATCACAACGTGGGCACATCATTTCCTGGGTTGACTATTAGAACAAATATGTTTCTACGTTTGAGTACTGTTTTCCTTTTTCTTGCCATCATAACAAATTTAGCAGTTTCAAACAGTGCCAGTAGATTATCGCCTAGTTCTGTAGCTCAGAAACCTGGGTTGGCTGGGTCTGTTTCTTTAGTCAAGGTTCACAAGGCTGAGATCAAGGTGTTGACAGGCTGAGATCCTGTTGGAAGGCTTTACAGAGATTTGACTTCCAAGTTCTCTTTTTAGACAGAATCTGATACCTGATGGCCATAGGAATGAGGCTCCTGTGTCCTTGTTTGTTGTTAGCTAAGAGTCAGCTTTAGCTCTAAAATCCTTTCTCTCTGGTCCTTACCTGTTGATGTCAATATCTCAGAACCTTCTTAGTGTGTTGGATCTTTCTCATATTTGGAATCTGACTTCCTATTCCATAGCTTTGAAGCCTCACAGATCTGACTTCCTCCTGTTCATCCTGATTTTAAGGGCTTTAGGATTACTTTGGGTCCACCTAGATCATCTAGGACAATCTTTCTATTTTAAGGTCAGCTGATTTGTAAATTTAATTCTGCTAACGACATGTGATCAGCAGTACCAAGCATTTGGGGGAATAACAAGGGGACAGGAACCTTGAAGAGACATGTTTTAGAATTCAGGCTAGTATGATTACCACCTCTGTTTCCAACATAAGTAATGATATATGTCTGTGGAGCACTAGAGATGTATCCAGAAATAATTTATCCTATCCAAGCATTTTGTGTTGGGAGATTAGATCCTCTCAGATTTGATATATTCCATAAATATACTGGAGGTAGTTTGTAGCTAATCCAGTAGCCCTTGCTTCTTAACAGATGATCTAGCTGCTTGGGAATAAATCTGAAATATACATGCTATGGTCTTTCCTTTCAATGAATAATTTGCTCCAAGGGTAACGTTTTCACTCCCCCCCCCCAACTAGTGGAACTGTATTTCATATACAATTTAATTTTTTTAGATTTTATTTATTTGACACAGAGAGAGAGAGAGAGAGATCACAAGTAGGCAGAGAGGCAGGCAGAGGGTGGGGGGAAGCAGGCTCCCCACTGAGCAGAGAGCCCAATGTGGGGCTTGATCCCAGGATCCTGTGATCATGACCTGAGCTGAAGGCAGAGGCTTAACCCACTGAGCCACCCAGGTGTCCCTCATATATAATTTGATTTTGTCTTTTATAATTGCTGGTAAGGAACATATTGACATATTTTCCTGGGGTGGTTTTTTAAAATTTAGGATCCAATTATTAATTTTTAAGTCCACTTAGTTACTGAATCATATGCATATGATTCTTAGGGCTAGAAACCTCTAGTTGATTCTCAGCTGCTTTCTTCAGCCACCATGTCTGACCTGTCACCAATTTTTTTTTTAAGATTTTTTATTTGATGGAGAGAGAGAGAGAGAGATCCCAAGCAGGCAGAAAGGCAGGCAGAGAGAGAGGAGGAAGCAGGCTCCCCGCTGAGCAGAGAACCCAATGTGGGGTTCGATCCTGGGACCCTGTGATCATGACCTGAGCCAAAGGCAGAGGCTTAACCCACTGAGCCACCCAGGCACCCCATGACTTGTCACCAATCTTGCTGATTCTCAGTGACCCAAGAATCTGTATCTTTGTTTGCACCCCTTACCCCCATCCCTGATAGACATCTTCATCATTTCCTATTCTATCTGTTGCAATAACTTCCTAATTGGCCTGTGTCTGGTTTCTCCTTTGTCCATATAATGACCCAGAGATGCATCCAGCCTGAGCTTTAGAAAAACTGAGAGTTCATTCCAACTCCTTAACATGACATTCAGAGATTTCCATTATATGACCCAATCCTAACTTTCAACCTCATTCCCACTATGGTCCTTGGGAGGAAGTGTTCAGATGGTGGCAGTTGAACACTGCTGTACCAACACTTCTACAAGCCATGTTCAGAGAATGGTAAATGGGCCTGTGCAACTGGGGTAAAGGGTTTGTGTAGTCATTGCAGGCAGGGCTTCTAAAAATGGACATGGTTGTTCAAAGATCTTCTTTTCCACCTTCAACATTCAGTTGATTATGAAATCCAAGCAGGCCCTTCTACATCCTATATTTTTAATTGATCTCATTTCTGTAAGTCTTGCCATTGCCCCAGCATGGGTCTTACCTCTCTTCTAGACGACTGCCCTGGCCAAACCTGTCTCTTTGTTCCCTTTGCTCTTTAAGCCAGTCATCATATTACATCAAGGTATCGTTCTAAAGCAGAGTTCTAACTTTAGTCCCTTTGTAATTCAAAACCTTCATTCTTTCCCTATGGTTTCCACTGAAGAGTATTTGCCCATGAATATAGTGTTAACAATTTGAGCCCTAGACCAGGCTGCTTGGGATGGGATCCTGGCTCTATTACTTACTTACCAGCTATGTGATATGAGACATGTCATTTTATTGCTCTGAATGTCAATTTCCTCATCTATAAAATGAGGATAATAATGTTTACATGGGGTTGTTATGTAGATAAAAACATATGAAGTATGAAGAGCTATTAGCAAGTAACTGGTATATAGTATATATTCAAGTAATAGTAGCCATCGTAATGACTGAAATACTCAAGACATTTAGATAGACTTTGTAAATGACTGGCTAGTTTTTACTCAATTAGGGATTTTTGAGAGTTAATGATTTGGCTAAATAACTCAATTTTAGTGGTCTCCCCTTTTCCCTTGAGCAGACAGCTAAGGATTATAACTGGTGAATGGTTTTTTGAAGAAAAGGCAAAGCGGTTCAAGCAAGTCAACGTTCTGGGCACTGATATAGTCCGACAGTCCATCTTAAGAAGAAGTCCAGGTAATTAAAGCAATTATTTGGTTTTGAAACTGTCTTACTCTTCATTTTGGTGGGCTCCATAATTTCCCTATATATGTTGCAAATGAACATAGTTGAATTTCCTGAATCCCTTAGGTCATTTCAAAACTCAGTAGCATGAAATATAAATCTGCAATTCATACAAGGGAAGAGGAAGTCAGTAGAAAATAAAATCCACAGTGATTTTCCATATATCTGACACACTGTGATTTTCAAAGGAGGCATTTATCTTCATCATAGATAGTTCTTTCCCTGAATGCATTTCCAGTATTTTCCTAGACATTTAAGAAAGTAACATAAAACAGATGAACTAAATGATTCACATTGTGAAAGCAATCCTTGATTTTTTCAACACGATGTATTTCCATAAAATATCTTTTACATGTTCCTTTTACTAATCCAGTGGTTCTCAACCAAGAGATGGTACTGTGCACCGTGCCTCCTCCCTCAAGCCAGAGGAGCATTTAGAAATGAAAGGGGGTGTTTCTGGTTGTTACAATGCCTGGGGTCGAATGAATACCCTTTAGTTCCTAGGGTGTCTCATCTTTCATATCCAGAGACAAATGCCCTTGTTTTTAAGTCCGGAAAGTAGAGCTGGGAGACTTGGGACTGATTTCACTGTCACTTTTAGATGTGGCCCCAGCAAGGAAGGGCTTTCCCACATGGGTAAGATCAATTCTGATGCCACAGGAGGATAGGATGGAGTAGAGCTAGAGTGAAGCAGTTAGCTCTGGCTGCTTTCCCCACCCAAACCTCAGCCCCTTTCAGAATGTAGACTCCCTCAAGCCATGAGGTGTCGACAAGCAGCTCACCCTCACAGGAAATCTGGTTTATGTGCTCAGAAATCAGGTATTGTTTCTATAATCCCGTCTCTAGGGATTTTGATTTCTCATGAACCCAGCCTCCTTTACCCTAAAAATATCTGTAGAGGGGGTGATACATCCTTCCTCCATCATAGTCATCCCTAGAAAGCTTACCTCAGCAAACCTCCCACAGATGAGTCCTGATCGTCATCTTCATCTAACTCTAGAGCACTCAGCAGATTAGAAATAACTGTGTGACTAGGAAACAGGATGGCAATGTCATCGCCAATTATTATAGACTTCTTTGTCCCATGCTAACGTAGGAAAGTGAATGAAGAATAGAAAATTGCTCTCATTTCTGGCCATTTTGTATGGAAATTTGTCTTCTGATTGTTTTTAACGAGGAACTGAAGAAACACAAAGTCAAGAGCAATCCCGCCAGGACCGAGAAAAGGCAGATACTTCACCTTCTTCCGGGCAAAAGGCCAGTCGTGATGGACCCAGGAAAAAAGGGTAAGACACACCTTTTCCAAAGGAATAGTTGATCTTTATTCCAGAAACCTCTGAAATAAAGACTCCATGGTTTTTTCAAGTTGGATATCATTTCAGTGACACAGAGAAGGTCGTCATACCCAACCAAGGCAATGTTCTCCGATCATTCCCCTCAGGAAATGCAGTCTTACTTACTTTTGGTCTTAGATAATTAAATTTCCCCTTGGACCTGAACCTGTAAAAGTTTTTATTTCATTTAACGTATCTGGTCCTGCCCAGAATGGTCCTCATTACTTCGAGGTAGAAGCTTTCCTGTCAGGACCAGTCTTGTCTATAAAGACATGACAACTGGCTTGGTTGTAGAATGTCGCCACCCAACCTGCAACCTGAGTGCTGATACAGGAAATAACCAAATGAAAGACTGATTAATGGGGCTTAAAACATCATGTCCCCTGTTTAAAATGTGGGCTTCCTTAAGGAAGAAATCCCATTTGGCTACCTCATTAATTCATAAAAGATATGTTTCAAGTACCAGAAATGAGAATGGGAGGCACATAGAGGAGCACAATTCAGAGAGGCACTAGGAAACCAGGGGTATAGGGGTTTCCTCAGGGGAGGAAAGAGACCCCCAAAAATGCAGGTGGAAAGGACCAAAAGGCCAACTTCTGCCTCCCAGCTCTGCATTTCGCTGGTCTTTTTTCCTCAGGCAACTGTTGGTCTGTTTTGTGGCTTAGGTAGTGAGGGTTCTAACACCTGCTGAGTCAGTGCATGATTCTCTCTAGGTAGCGGTGTTTTGTTCTCTCAGCGGGAAGCAGCATGAGTGATTACTAGTATCTGAGCCTTTCTCTGGCTCCAGAGAAAGTCTGGTTTGGTTTGGTTTTTGTTCTTTGAATCACGAACTCTGAGTGGGAATGAAACCTAAATGTCCTGTAGCTCAGACACTCGTGACTAACCACGTCTTGATTAATTAGCGGGGATGAATGTGAGAGAGAGCCTGGAGCGACCAACTGTACATCCCACCCCATGGATGGGTCCTTCCTCCCAGGTTGAATTCATTCATCGCCCTTCAGCGTTCCCACAAGGCCTTGTGCCTGCATATCCCTCCTTACCTGGTAGTCTGACACCACGCCCTCACTCCTCTTAGAAAAACTGAGAGTTCATTCCAGCTCCTTAAAACATGACATTCAGAGATTTCCATTATATGACCCAATCCTACCTTTCAATCTCATTCCCATTACAGTCGTCCCAGGACGTACTTAACTGTGAGTTCCCTCAGCACTGGACCTGTGGCTTTTTTCTTTCTTTTTTTCTTTCTTTTCATGCTACAATTTCTGGCATGGAAATTCCAGCCTGGCTCATCAAAAACAATCAACGGCTTGATTGAACAAGCCACGCAGAGCACACAAGTGCTTGCAGGAGCCGTAATTTGCAGATGTTAGCCCAGGCTTCGCTGCATAGGTCACAGAGTGATGAACTTGGAGCCGGGAGACAAGAAGTAGCCCACCAGCACAATGAAGTGTAGGCGCTCTGAATTTAAAACAGTCACAGCACCGGACCGTGCCCTGGGGGAACTCAGAACTGAGATCTAATGGAACTGTCTTCAATAACTGTAACAGCTAGTTGGGTAGAAAAGGTTCACGCCTGGAAAGTTAATCTGTATAGAGGAAGTTCGGGAAAATGTAAGATGACAATATGAGCTACCTGAAAGCCTTTCTAAATGGAAATGAGGTGTTCCTTCCCTACAAGAGAGATCATAATGCGATAAATAATTAAGTAAATCTTAAAGAAGAAGCTTAGCTAATCAGTGGCGGGAGGTCACGGAGGCCATTGGGAATGACATCAAATTGTAAGTGTGACTAGATGAGGACCTGGAAAGATGGGCAGGGATCCAGGATAGCCAAACATGGGTAAGAGTGATTCCACTTGGAACAAACAGCTTAAGGAGAAGAATGGATGTGGGGTCACGTGTAAGGGGGCTCAGAGCAGCCCAGACTGATAGTATATTAAGTGTCATTTTCACCAAAATATGTAATTTTCCCATTAGATTGAAGCTTCTGACACTTTGACAAGACACTCTTGATATATCATTGAAACAGAGGCATCTTGGCAGCTTTTCTTAAGATTATCCCCCTACCTTTGGAGTACACCTAGAAAACTAGAATATAAGATAAAATAACTGGCTTTTCCCAATGCTGTCACAACAAGAAGATAGCTTTGGTTCTTTATTAAAGTATATTTGAAAACCCCTAGGTTTTGGGCATTCGGTAGCTTGGATCATGACTCAAATCTCAGTTCCTGAAAAGCTATTTTTGCTCAAGTTCTAAATAAGTTAGTAAAATGGCAACAGAGTCAGATCTCATCGTACATGAGACACTCCATTGTTCAAACTTCACTCCCACGGGGAGAAATGTCATGAAAGACAGAAAGATGGTTTCCACCACCTGGGTTTAGTCATTCATTCCGCAAGAATTGATTGGGTTCTCGTGGGTGCCAGGCATCACTCTCAGCTCAGGGAGCTGTCAGGAAACCAGCAGGGCAGAGCTGCTATTTTCACGGAGCTGTAAGCTAATCTGTGGCCACCTCAGTTTGTCCCAGAGAATCATTTTAGCTCCCCTCTCTGAGCAAGGGGAGTCCAGGCTCCCTGTCCTTAGCATCGCTGAACATAGGCTCAACCCAGGCCATGTTTCTCCATTCTCAGGTGACAGTGGGGAGTTCGAAAGCTGATGGTCTTTTTCCTTGCAGGGATGGAGGCCTGGTCTACCAGCAAGTGGTAAGGCCTTGGGACAATGTGATAACTTCCTCTATACTCACCCTTGACAGTGTACTTGCAGAGGCACTGGGGACACCCCAGGAGCTCTCAGGCCAAAGGCCGTTTTATTGAAGAATTATTTACTGTTGAAAATATTAGAAATGGTATTTTTTTTTAAGAAACGGTATTCTTGAAAGGATATCTTAAAATGCCTTTTCTCTTATGTTACTTTTTAAGTATAGACCTATTTATGTAATTTCAGATTTCTTCTGAGCAAGTTCAGATCAGCAACCAGGGGAGAGATCATGACTCCAAAAACGGAAAGTGGGCGGAGCTACAGCTTGGACCTAGACAGCCAGAACTTTCGGAGTTTAAAGTCAGTCCCTGGTTCAGACAGGTAAGGCGCATACAGATTAGGCAGTGGTAGAGCCTGAGAAGAAAATTAATGTATTTCCATTCAAATGGTGCTTCTAGGTACCTATAAAGTATTACATCTTGGAGGACTCCCAGCATAATATGAAAAGACAGGAGGACATTTTTTTAATTGAAATGGAAAGCACTTACCCTTCTGGAATTACAGCTCTCAAAATCTTCTGTGTTACCTGTAAGGATGAGACTTGATATTCTGGCGCTTAAGGCTGTGGTTCGAATGGAGATAAACAGGAAAAATAAATTCTGCTCCTTGAGTTCGTGATCTTTCTGTTTAAGTTTCTGAAAAAGAAATCTCTGAGGGATATATATATTCCTTGCAGTTTTTAAAAAATTGATAATAATTTCATCAGTTGAACTGCTCCAGAGAATTCCCATAAATTCCACTTCTTTCTATTTCCACCTCTTCTAACTCATTAACAATGGGGCCAGTGGAGAATTTCCTATACACAGAGTTTTCACCTTGTCAAGAAAAGGAAAATGAAAGGGTAGCCAAGAGCATAGTCATCTCATATCCGGCTGGATTTTCTTTATCCTCTCAGGGCATAAGCCAAGGCTTATTTTTGTGATGAATACATTATCAGAAGCCATGAGGAGAAAAAAAACATCTATCCTCATGTTTCACTGGTTTGTCCAAATGTTAACTACCTTTTTTTTTTTCTTGGAGCTGCAGTAATTCTGCAAAGCCAGGGAGTGAAGCCTTCTTGGGTTACACAAGCAGAATTGAATTCTCCCTTTTAATTCATTTTAGAATATGGAACACCAAATCCCCATAGAGAGGACCCTCTTTTTACTATTCATTTTCACCCCCCATGGTTACTCTCCATACCTGCTGCTTTTTTCTCTATAGCATTGTTTCAAAGTAGTGCCCTTTATGTAAAACCACTCAGAAAAAAAATAGAGAAGTAGGAGATAAATCCTTTATCATCCACTATCAGAAGATCGTCACGATATTCAGTATTTTTAAAATTTTCAAGAATATAGATATACTTCTTCGATGATTAAAAAAAAAAAAAGAAATTCAAACCCTGGTTGCTTTTGTCTTTGAAATAGTTTCCTTTGACTGACCTTAGGGTAGCCTCATGCCAATTTCCACAGATTCTTTCTATCAAATTCTCGTTTTTGTTTTTGGTTGTTGTTGAACTCCTGAGTCTCAGACACGCTCCAAATTATTTAGAGATGATAAGCAACTAGGTTAGTGTTGCTATTTTTGCCCAGCCTCTTGGGGACTCCATGGATGAGCCATGTTGGTAATGAATTCAGGAAAGCACTTACCCTTCTGGAATTACAGCTACCATTTCAGAAGGACAATATCTATAAAAAGAGGAAAGATAGGATTCCCGTTAAAAAAAAAAAAAAACTTGTAAAAAAAAATCTCTTGATTCAACCAACAGGTTATTCCATTTTAAATTAATTAGTCTTTAGGTTACTCAACAAGAATAAGGGGCATGATCTCTAGTATCACAGTGCTTTTGCTGTTCTTCCAGAATCTACCTGCCTGGGTTTATTTCTTGGGTGTTATCCACGGCTGGGTATAAATAATCATTAAATTATAAAGCCATATGGACATGTTTCTGGTGCACTGACCCAGGATTTTCTTGTTCTTGTTGTAAACTGAAAGGAGGCGAAATAGATTGATCTTTAAACCTGAAATGGTTTCTAGAAGATCAGAAATGTAGTAGTCAGGGATGGTTTGGCTTCAGCATGTCAAGAACAATGTTTTCCCATTAAGAAAGAGAAAAAAAACAGCTGTTTGGGACATCAGTAGAGCAAAATGTTCTTTTCCTAGAACGTGCATTTATCAAAGTGATGACTCATTAATGGACTGCCACAGTGAGATGAGCTACGTCATCCCAAAATTATTCCTTAGAAAGTTGGGCAGGAAGTAGCCCATCTTTTCTCAACTCTTATCACCAAAAGACGTTAGCTCCTTTTTGTTTGCTTGAAGCTGCAGTAATTCTGCAAAGGCAAATAGCAAAACTGGCAGACTTTCTGTTCTCCTTAGGTTTTGCAAGCAAAACTACCTTCTCCCCGGTAACTCATTTTCGAAGACGGAACAGCAAATTTCTCTGAAGAAAGTCTAAGAGCCCAGTCTCTTTGGTCTCGTACCTGACCCAGTTTAGCAATGAATTCCCCTTTCCCCTTCATAATGCCTACTTTTTCATAGTTCATTGCTCTTTTTCAGGAGCAGCTGGCCTTGGGCATTCTTGTTTGAAACTCTTATCTTACCAGAGTGGAAACGATGTTTTACCAGATGCCTGGTTGACTTTCTTTTCAGCAGTTGGAAAGCAGGGGAAAGTATGAATGGGTTAGGCAAGGCCCAGCAGCCTCCCAAAAGAACATGGCAAATTGTTCTTCCCTTGTTGCTAGGGACTTGACAGATGAGGCATAGGAGACTTTTGAAAAAATAAAAAGAATATGCATTAAGCTATAGTTGTTAAACAGAATGTTCTTCAGGGCAGGGATACCTAATCCCTTTTACATTGTGATGAGTTGTTAATGTGGTCTGATTTGTGAGATATCTGCCTGAAGTCATGCTCACCCAGAACCATACCCTCAGACAAGGATTTGTAAGTGAGTGGTTTATTAATGAAATGATTCCAGGAGAAACCAGTATAGGAGGAATGGAAGCAGAATAAAGAAAGGAAAGAACCCAAGCAATGTGCCATCTCAGATGAGGTCTGAATGTGAAAACTCAGCTTGATCCTACAAGGGATTCTGGATCCTAAATTGTGTCTCTGAGTTTTTCCATTTCGAGGAGCTGGACCATTGCACTCCTATACCAATTAGCCATTGACTGTGGATTCTTGTGGAGAGGGTTTCCAGATTTAGTGAATAAATGTACAGGATGGATGCCCAGGTAAACCTAAATTTCAGATAAACTACTTTTTAAAAAAGTGACATCTGGAGTGCCTGGGTGGCTCGGTCGGTTCAGTGGCTGCCTTCAGTTCAGGTCACGATTGCAGGGTCCTGGGGTCGAGCCCCGCATCAGGTTCCCTGCTCTATGGGAAGCCTGCTTCTCCCTCTCCCTCTGCCTGCTACTCCCCCTGTTAGTGCTAGCTCTCTCTATGTCAAATAAATAAAATCTTTTCAAAATAAGTAAATAAGTTAACTCGATGAAATATTACTTTCATTTATATACTCTATAAATATTAGTATATTTTTATACTAAAAAGTATTCATTGTTTATCTGAAATTAAAATTTAACTGAAAGTTCTGTATTTTATTTGATAGCTCCCACCATGGGGGTCAGAGGAGACACACTCCAAAGCGTATCTAGGCCCCTGTGCTAAAGGGCAAATCTTTGAAGGCCATAGGTGCAAGTCATTAGCAGGAAAGCACTCAGAGCTGGTACAAGTGATCTGAGTGGATCTGGGTAGGACGTCAACAATGTCCCCTAAAAAAACAAAGGAAAAATGGAACTTTGAAGTTAAAATTCACGCTGTTCAGTAAAAAATAAATGAGGGGTGATGCTTTGTTTCTTAGCAGCATTTCTGTCCTCACACTGGAGAATATGGCAAGCATAGCAGATTCACAAGGGTGTTTACTTGGGCTGTGACCATATCATTGGGAGCAACATGAGATTTGGAGCTGTCAAACATGTCTTCAGCTAGAAACTTCTACTTTTTTCTCACAGTCATCCCTTTTTGCTCATCCTTTGCCCACCATACACACCCACCTTGATTTGGGCTCCTCCAGAACAGACCCTGAAATAAGAATTCGAGAGCAAGTCATTTCTTTACAATATGGTCTTGGAAACCCAGGAGGATTGGAGAAGTTATCCAGGGAAGGAAAGGAAGCCAAAAAGACAGTGTCATTAAGTCAGTTACCATTGTGGGTAATTGTAAGAAACAGTGTATAACCCCAGAATTATCCAGTCAAGAGATTGGGAAGCTGGGGTATGTATACACCAGGTCCCTATTGCTCACTGGTTGAGGACTATTTCGAGGGCACTAACTCTCTGGCACTTGGGACTTGTTCTGTGTACAGGCACCCCATGCTCTTGTGATCCAAGAAAGTCTTCGGGCACAGACTTGTGAGTATTCCTAGTAAACAGGATTCTGTAGGTAGAGGTGAGGGCTAAGGGGCAATGACTGGGGGCACTGCTCTCTGCTACAACATCCCTCCAAACCACGCTTCTGTCCCTCCTCCAAAGGTCCAGTTGGTCAGACCACCAGTTGCTCCATCCCTGATTTGTGTTTACCTTATATACACGTGACTTTCCTTTTTATAATGACAGTAATGTGAGGAGTTCCAGAGACTTGGTGGTTCAGCCGGACGCCTGATATTATACTTTGGTTGGATCACAGCTGGGTTCTTCACGTGCTTCATTGTTGTGGCCAAACAACTGTAAGCCCAAAGACACCTCCTTGCTATCTGATCTGTTTCTCCAGTCGTTTCTCAAAGATTCACTGCCCTAACGTGTTCTGTTTCAATGAACTAAATTTAACACAATTCTCTCCTCCAGTATAATAATTTTTTTTCACTCGGGTGTATTATGTGCTACATACTTTCTCAGGGTTGCTAAGATACAATAATGGCCTTTCTTCTTCACTGAGGAGTAGAGGTATATGACTTGCTCACCTATAAATTGTATTTATACAGATAAAATTCAATACATAATTCTGCCCATATTATTGACCTAGTACCGTATTCCAAATGGTGATTAAGTGTGGAAGAGTTTAGACAATGATCCTATCCAACCCCTTCACGAACTTCACAAACTTTGTCAGGGAAGACTGGGACAACCAAATAATTTCAAGACAATATTTTATCATGTTAAAAAGATGTTCTGTGTGCTATGGGAAAACCAGAAGGAGGCACTTACCCTTACAGAGGATTCAGGGAAGCTTCAAGGAAATGACCTCTAAGCAGTTTTAAGGGATGAGGAAGACTTGGCCACGTGACCAAAGACAAGAATGAGACAGAGGAACAAAGTACAAGGAGGGGGAGGGGCAGAGGGAGAGA